GTCTTCTCTTTCAGCCTAGAGTCAGAGCCAGGGCCCATGACTGACTGCAAAAGCCCAGTCTCAGGCCCACCCTTTTTACCCAGGGGCCCTAAAAGCCCTATCTAGTGCTCCCTTGTGTGAGGCTGGGGAGCAGGGGATTATGAAGTTTTAAAATTCATACCCTGGGGGGGGGGATCAGATGCGATGGCAACAAAGCCAAAGCAGTTCTTGTCGGTGTCTGGCTTCCACACCAGCATGCTGCCTGGTGACTCACACTGGCCAGCTCTGGCCCAGCTGTGCAGCCCCAGAGGCTCCTCTGGCTGTACACTTGCACCCTCTCCAGGGTGCCACACGGGAAGCTCCTAGGATCTAGTTTCAGAAGTTGGCATCCACCTCTCCTGGCACTCATCTCTCACTTGGGGCCTGGGCCTGGCTCAGCACTTCCTCTGGACTGGGGCCTCCTAGACCCCGAGGAAAGGTGGGTGGAGACCTGGCTTGTCTTCTCACACTCAGGATGTCAGCCCACAGGCCTCCTCTGTGTGGAGAGGCTAATACTCAGAGAAGGGCGACCAGGGTGCCACTGCCGGGAGGACTAAGGGGTCAAACCCCTGGGTGCGAGGGCCTGACCATCCTTTAAGGCAGATCCTCCCAACACCACAGACTCATGGGATATGGTTACGCATAAGTGCTTACTCACCACACTGAGGCTCTGGGATCTTTATTCCATTCCCCTGGGCTTGAACTTGAGAAAGCGGTTTGATGCCTACTTCACTATGAGGCATTAAGACCCACAAGTTTTTACCCCGCTGATACGAAACCAGCCTTTAGTGAAGGTATGTAGGGGAGGTGTTTGTAGTTACTCGGATTAAGGAGCCCACGCGAAGGTGACCGCTGGGAAAGAGGACCGTGCTTACAGAGGGTTGGCTGACCTCCACCGGCACCCGGGTGCAGCGCTCCCGAGACTGGTCCTTTCCGTGGGGCAGGTGGCCGTGTCTCTATGATGCAACATCCTGCCTTTTCCCCA